CCCCGTCACATCAGAGTCACCCTTCACATCAGCAGCCTCTCTTCACATCAGGAGTCCTCTGTCATATCAGTCTCCCCTTTCACATCAGTGTTTCCCCTTTACATCAGGAGCCCCCTTCACTTCAGTGTTCATTCCCCCTTGCCGTCACAATTCCACTATCATAAAATTTTTAGACACCCCTGAAGAAGCCAGAAGGCACATGAGCATGCCACTGCACCCTGGTTGAGAAAGGCTGATTTAAGCTAAGCACGTTATAAGAAAATATAAATATCAACAGTATAGCTGTGTTGGCTCAGGCCAAGCAACTTTGTATCTATTATGAAAACATAGTGTACTATCAACAGAAAGATATTATAACTATTATTATTAGCTGTCCCATATTTAGACAATAATTTATAGGTATGACACATGAACTGGCTGTGAAGCCTGGACTAGGAGGTAATTTTGGTATTATATGGGGGACTCTGTGATCACACAGGTGAGAACACACAGGTGAGAACATCTTCTCCAATCACTAGTATCCCCCCTCTAGATGAGTTGGGGGTGTCTATGCATCTCATCTGCCAATTTGTATAGGCATAAACATGGTAAACAGTTAGCCAAGCTGTGATTGTGTTTTTGCTCCTAGTGGCCAAGCTCTGAAATCTGTGGCATCTTAAAGAGGATTAAACGCTCAAACTTTTTTTTCACAAATCCATCTACTAGCTTGGAGAAGGAGAAAGGAGGAGTGGGGAGCAGGGCAGTACCTTCCCTTTCTGTGCTTGTGTTTTTGTGGAGACACACAGCTTACTAGCACACACAAGGGGGCTGTATAGGACCTTTAAAGGGAAAGGAGCCACCTTAAAACAGGATATCAAGACCACTGCTACGGGGACCAGGTGATTCTACAGGAAATTTAAACGTTTAAACTTAAAGGAGCAGCATCCATTTGACTTTAATATCACTTTAATTTGTGTCTCGGAATTGCAATATTTTTGAAGTTTCAGGCTGCTTGGACAGAGCTTCTGCAATCTTCTTTCCCTCCCTTCCTCTTTGATACCCAAAGCTCTATGTGCATCAGGGCTGGCAAAGAGGACAGTTGCTGACATCACAGACCAATAGACCAGGAACTGGAGGCTGTCTTATCAGTTTGGCACGCCAAGTTGCAATCAAACACAATAGCAAGAATCCTTACAGAAATGAAGCCATCTGACATTTAACACACCGCCCTCAATATTTTTCAAGGACAGTATGCATAACATTTGTGGCCAAATGTTTTGTTTCCAAAAGACATTTGGTAAATTATATCAGCCTCTAGTTTCTGGTCCCTGGACCCTAAATAATGACTAATAAATGACCATTAAAAGTAGAAAAAGTAGTAAATCTTCATGTGACCTCAAATTACTTTCATGTATATTCACCCGGTGAGACAGCAGTCCTGATAGTAAGTAAAATTCTCCCACATTGGTGGACCTTTTGTTACAGTTCAAATAGCACAAGAGGAGATAGATGCAATGGTGCTAAACCTGGAAGAGAAAGAATCTGGAGCAGCTGCGCATAGTAACCAATCAGCTTCTCTCTTCAGCTTGTTCAGTTAAGCTTTGAAAATGAAAGATAGAACCTGATTGGTTGCCATGCACAGCTGCTACAGATTCTGTCTTAGTAAATTGCCCTTGGTGTATCTAATGTATCCTTTGTAGCTACACAAAAGACTTTATCAGGGGCATTGGAGCACACCATACCCATATGTTCAGTTAATGCTCCACCAAAACCCTAGGGAGAAGGGCAGTATTGTAACGGGGAGAGCAGGTGCTTTGTGATGTCTCCTGTGTGCTTTGCCCTCCATTATAATAGTTTGTGGAAATATTGGGAATGATTTATAGAAACTAGAGCAAAAAAAATGTCCAACATCGAATCACTTTGGACAATAGAAGCAAACATGTTCTAGTGTTCATAAATTCAGGTTTTAAATGGAATCTGTCGGTGCCAGTGCTGTCATTGCAGACTTGTTATTAAAGCAATAAACTCCAAGGTAGTCATGGCTTGCCTTCCTTTCCTATATGGTCAGCTCCCATATTTCTCTCGTCTGGTTCTCTTCAAAAAATCTAACTTCTACCTAAACTTCATCTTTGACCTAAACCAACATTCATGGGTATGCACCAGTCACCTTCTTAGAATGTATGCGATTTAAATGCTTTGGGTAACCTTAACAAATGTGCCTTGAAACGGATTCCTTCAACACCATATGTTTACACTAACATCCTAATTTTCTCTTTTCCTTTGGTTTTAGGACCGTCTTTTTTTTGTCATGGAGTACGTAAATGGAGGAGACTTGATGTTCCAAATACAGCGCTCGCGTAAATTTGATGAGCCACGATCACGGTTTTATGCCGCAGAAGTAACCTCCGCTCTCATGTTTCTACATCAACATGGTGTTATATACAGGTATTAGGAATGCAACTGTATATTTTATACCTTTTATGTGTTAATTCTTTTACATATGTTGTATTTTTGACTTCACTGTATAACAAAGGAAAACCACACTCTCTGAAATGCATGTTCCATTCAGCCACGTCCTCTTAGCTTAAAAATAAAAATCATAGGTCTGAATATAAAGCAGACAGCATAGCCCCCCTGTTAGGGTGTCCTGCAACTTCTGTACTATATGCTTGATGGTGAAATGTGTCAAACTGAACCTTTATTAATAGGCTTCATTCTGTGCTTCTGAGGCAGCATGATCTGTAAATACAGCCTTAAAGTAAGACATTACAATTCCGACAACTGTTTATTACTTGCCAAACAAACATAAGTGCTTTGAGGAAAGGTGGAAGAGCAGCTCTGGAGAGGGGGCACGTCTGAGACATAGACTGCACGCTAAAACACTGTTGTACATTGTGTAGGGTTGGTGCAATGACTTGTTTTCCTTTTTTGTATTTTATTGAAGTGTCACAAAATGACACTTTGTTCAGTTCTATGCACCGCAGCATGTTGTGACATGTAAAAAGTGCAGCATGTCTGCATTTTTACGCAGTGTATTGCAAAACCACCTCATCGCTGCATTGTGATGTGAACAGGGCACATAGAAAGCAATTGTTTTCTGTAGAAGTGCACCGAAATGAAAATTAAAAAATCGAAGAGAAACCGAAAAAAAATGTCAGGCCGAAACCGAAAAAATATGTTATTCTATCTTTTTCAATTTTTAAAAAATATTTAATTTTTACTTGTTTTGTATAAACATTTAAGGGGCTTCAGGGAAATATTAGGGGTTTAAACAGACCCCTGATAACTCCCTTTTAAACTAGAGCTGCCCCTGTTATAAATGAAGAGGAATCCTCTATACTGAGTGATCCTGTTCATTCATAACATGTGTTTATGTTTACTATATATATGTAGATCACTTCCCATTCATTCATAACTGAGGAATATAGTAAACCTACTATGTCCTCAATTATTTACAAACAGTGATCGCTGAGTATTTGTACCCCCTCTCCTTCCTGACACGCTGTCACATTGCTGTCACAGGAGGCTGAGCTCTCCTCCCGCACCGCCCCACCCAGCCTCCTGTAACAGCAATGAAAGCTGTATCTGCCCCATGATCTGTGACAGGAGGCTGAGCGGTGCGGGGAGGAGAGACGCCGGCCGCTCCCAGCGCTCTGCCTCCTATGACAGTTTCTCTCCTCCCCGTTGGGACGCAGAGCAACAGGGAGAAAGAGTATTTTGTGAAAACTGCCATTTTTGGATGATATGTTTCGGCCGCCGATATAACAGTGCATCCCTAGTTTTCTGTGTTCCCTTACACTGAGCCTATGTTGATCTGTGCATATCAACACAACTCAATCCATATGGTGTGAACAAGCCCTGAGAGTGAATTACAATATAACTCCAGACACTCACCAGAGTCAGGCCAAGACCTAATTTACACTGGCATTGACAAATATGCATTTATAGGACATTTCTAAAGACACATAAATGCATATAATAGTTTTGCTTCAATTTAGCTGTGTTTAGAGAAAATCCTATGCGTCCAGGTTCCAATTAGAAACCCTAAACACCACAAAATGCATGTAAATGTAGCTAAACCCATGTAAAGGCAGGTACAGCTAAACATTGGAGAACTTGATCTGGCAAGCATAAAGTTTGTTTACACCACAGATCATTTCTTTTGCCTCTAAATAACCTAACGCAGGAGTGCTAGTATGAATGTAGCTTAAAGCTAGCATTTTCTACATTTTTGTTTTCAGAACATTCGTTCAACTTTGTTTTGTTTTGTTTTTTTGTTTTTTTATCTGAACGAGCGAAATTCTAACTGTGAACGTGATTTTTTTGTTTGGGAAAATTCATACATATTGTAATGTGAATGTGCTTAGCACAATGTGCTTAGCACAAACTAAGTCTGTTTAAAGGTGGCCCTACAATGCGAATTTCTTCCGGTTTCTGATGAAAAGGCTGAAATTCGCACACAGTGGGTGCCACTGTCTGCGCCCTTTTGGCCGGCATCCGTCAATCAACTGATCGAAGGAGCCGGTCTGAAAATCTTTGAATGAACAGAGCCGACAGCCAATGAGCATTGAAACAGCGGGGGATTCCTACAGTGAAGGAAGACAGCAGGAGATTCCTCGATCGAGACTCATGAACATTGATGAAGGAATCTGTAATATTACAGTGCGTGGCCAGCATAAGTCTTTCTGTGGAAAACACAATTGAATGAAAAGGGCAATTTTAGAAAATGATGCAACCTCAAACATACAGAGCATTTTTGTTTGTTTCACACATTCTACTGTTTAACTCTGACTGCATCATTTTTTTCAGGACAGATATGGCTTTAATTTGTTGGCAAATTTAGATACATATGTTTTAGGATGACAACAGCTCTTTCAGCTGTGTTTACATTCACTTCTGCAGTGTGCTCCTATGGAGCGATCTGTAGAAGCTTCGGAAGTCCAGGAGCAGGAGCTGATTAAACAGCCAGACAGCCAGCAATTCTAGCACTAGTGCTTGGGGGGGGGGACCAGAAGGAGCTACAAAGTCCAGGTACTATTTTAGAACATCTCTGGAACAAATAGCCCCTGTTTGTTTTAAAACAGCACCAAGGACTCAATTGATTAAAATAATCCCTCACTGACGTCTGTAGCTGCAGGCTCTGTGAAGCATTTCATCCTTAAAGTTCCAGGGACAAAAATAACAAAGATATACACACCCAAAGCTCTGAGCCAGCATCTTCTTAGACTGGTCCTTCCAGAGTCCCTCCACTGCAGCGGTCTAATGTCCCATAAATCATCATGTCTATACACAGTGTATAGACGTGAGGATGCTGAGAAAAATTCCAATGCTGCTAGAGGAGGAGATGGGCTGGAGGGAGCGCTGTGACAGCTGGCCGGTTTGGAGCTTCGGGTGAGTATATCTTTGTTATTGGTGTCCCCGTAGCTCTCCAACCACTGTTCTTCCCTCAACAGCCTTTTAACCTTCTAATGCCTAATGTAAACAGAGCTTTGGGATGGGGGAAGCTGAGCTGCATAGAGAGAAAGACTTTAGTGTTTGTGCTGTGAACTTTGAGGATAAGTTGCTCCACAGTGCCTGCAGCTACAGATGTCAATAAGGACTTTTTTTGAAGCTCGTTTACTGCTTGTCAAGAATATTTAAATACAACAGAACAAAAACATAAGCGCACGACTGATACTTAGTCACTGGAAAAGTCACGGGCTGTAAAATTATGGTGTGCAGGCTCTCACTGACAGGGAGAGGACCCTGTGAATTCGAATGGTAAACAGAAAAAAACAAAAGAGAGAGCGCTACTACCTAGAGAAAGCTTGTATTAAGTGGCATCTATTCATAAGAGAAAGAACAAATATATGTAACTTACGGTTGGAAGTCTGCAAATGTGTCAAGAATGGTGAAACAATGACCGGTATTCAGAGGGAGTCCAAAGCAGAATACTGCAGCAGTGTATGGATGAGGGGGCGCTGTGAAAGATCCTAGCGGCACGCGTGCACAGCTGGCCAGGCCGGGCCACGGCGGCTATGGAGGGAGGACCGCGGCGGTTGTGGAACCGGGACCGCGAACGGCTGTGTTCGGTGCGTGTATAGTAGAGTCAGATCGGTGGGCAGAGTATCGACAGGACGTCTGAGTGGGTGGAAGCTGTGCACAGACGGGCTTGCTGTATCGTGACGGCTACGCGTTTCGAGGCACAGCCTCTTTGTCAAGCCTTAAAGCAAGAATATTTAAATACTTGACTATGTCATAGCTCAGCCACAGGTGTTCTTTAGAGACCTTGTAAAATGTATTTGTGAAGTTGACATTATTTTGCAGCCACTTGTTATAAAACGTTTGCACACCTCTAGTGTTATGGTAACCCATCAGGTGTTATCAGAGCTTACGGGATAGGACTACAGAATACAGCTTGTTTGTTCTGCATCTCTTGCTCAGGCACTTTATTTATCTTTCTTAAGTGTTGAAGTTTCAGTAGTGCCTGAAGCCATCACCAGCTGTGTTTGCTGATATTTTTCTCCAAATCCAAGTTTGTGAGATGCTTGGCACACAGTGGCCCTTAAGTGACCCTGAAGAGATCAAGGCAATCTCTTCAGCTCTTTCCCTTGCGTCGCTAGCTGGTTGGCACTTCCTGAGTTTGTTTCAGTCGTCTCCAGAGTAAATGGGCAGCAGATGGAGAGGCTTTCAAGTCTGTGCCCTTCCCTCACAACACTCTCCAGCCATATACAGGAAAAGGCTCTCTGTAGACAGACAGACAGGCTTGTACTTCTTTACCATTTACCTTCGTGAGTGCAGGTGGGCCTGAAGTAAAAGAAACAAATTAGCACATGTTTCCTTAGAAGAGGAAATTGTGAGGTCCTCCCTGGCTCATCTGCAATTTATTTAACATAAACAGAGCTAATTATACTGCAGTCATTTTTTTTTTGTGTGTGCGTTATATAACATTGGTGTTACAGTGCAACAAAAAAATGCAGAGTAGTTACACCCAGTTTCTGCTTATTTTAGGTGACAGGAAACTGAAATGGAAGCTGATAACCCTAATGGGATTAATTGTTATTGCAATTCACTTCATAGGGTGGGAATATTATGTGTATGTAAAGCCACAACGTTTGGAAACCATGTGGAAGAGTTAGAACCTCTGTTGGGTTTTTGCTGCTGTCTGTACCTGATGGGGAGGATTCCCCTCACCTTTGGTTCTGATGAACATTATCACAAACAGAAAGTGATGGGAAATCCAAAGTTTTTGGGTTTCAATAGGAGCATGGGGTCAGGTGAAATCATCTAATGGGATCAATGTTTTGGTGTCCACTGTCTAACAGTGAACATGCTTTTTTATGAAACTAAGTGAAGGGAACAACACCAACAGCAGAGAGAAACCTAACAGGGCTTTTCCATTCACTACTTTATCCTCCAAAATGTTTTTCTCACTTTACATACAATTTGAGATGACACCCCCCCTA